AAGAACATTCATCCACATATAGCCCGGTGGCTGCTTCAGGGAATAATAGCAGACATGATAGTTGAAACAGACCAAACAACTCAAAGCCTAACATATTTATTGTCTACCGGTCCTTTACAGAAAAAGTTTTAACAACATATGATATACAACTTTACAAGCAATTAAAAACAAGGAAATCATGAAATTTGCAGGCAAATGGTGGGATCTAGAAAATATCATCCCGAAAGACACACAAGGTATATATTCACTTATAAGTGGGTACTAGACCTATTAGATAGGATAAACATATTAAAAATCTGTACACCTAAAGAAGACAAACAAGAAAGAGGAGCTGAGGTAAGATGGTCAATCCTCATTTAGAAAGACAAATGGGACAGACATTGGAAGTAGGAGAAAAAAGTAACAGGACAGGAGCCTATCACAGAGGGCCTCTGAAAGACTCTACACAGCAGGGTATCATGCTGAGACTCATAACCAAACCTTCAGCAGGGTGCAGGGAATCATATGAAAGAAGGGGGAGTTAGTATGACCTGGAGAGGACAGGAGCTCCACAAGGACCAAATATATCAGGGCACGGGGTCTTTTATGAGGCTGTTTCTCCAACCAAGGACCATGTATGGATATAACCTAGAACCCCTGCTCAGATGTAGCCCATGGTAGCTCAGTATCCAAGTGGGTTTTTCCCTAGTAAGGGGAACAGAAACTATTTCTGATATGAACTCAATGGCTGGCTCTTTGACCTCCCTCCAACTCCCGAGGAAGGAGCAGCCTTGCTATTCCACAGAGGAGGACATGGCAGCCAGTCCTGAAGATAGCTGATAAGCTAGGATCAGATGGAAGGGGAGGAGGACCTCCCCTATCAGTGGACTTAGAGAGGGGCAAGGAGGAGATGAGGAAGGGAGGGTGGGACTGGGAGGGAATGAGAGGGCTACAGCTGGGATACAAAGTAAATAACCTGTGATTAATATAAAAAATAAAAATTATTAAAAAAGAGTACTTTACAAGTACATTAAAGAGATCTCTCTAGTCAACAGAAAAATCAACTGGTTCCTTCAGAATGTTTTTACATCATTGGCTAAGACTTAACACACTGGGAAATCATGGTAGATTTAGACTCCCCCTACAGTTCAAAGACCAACTTCAGCAATCATAAAATACAGCTGTGAGTGAGGTGACTCAGTCATTCAGTGCGATCTTAAAATGCAGTGTTCTGTGCACTCGTTTCTAACTCTCCCCACCCCTGATACAGAGGTGAATGGCTGTGGACCATCTCAAGGGAAACCACAAATGCCAAGCCCACTTGAGCAGCCCACATTCATAAACAGTGTCTTTTGAATTAAGAAGCTGATAGCCACTTAAAGTCATATTAAAAGCAAAAGACAGCTATCTGCCTGTCAAGGGTGAGCCTAAATTCTAACCTTCCTGTTATGCCTGTACTTGGGGGAAATGAAGTTCCCTAAAGAAAAAGGAAAAGTCATTCCTTGCATTGAAGAAACAGAATAGTCATCTTTTAAGTTGTGTGTGTACTAGAAACCAGGAATGTGTCATAAACTGTTTAGTTTATTCATTATAACCATCCTGCTATGTAGCAGTGTTTGTCTCAGTTTTGAAGAAAAAAAAAGTAAACTAAGGATGCTTACAGTCACAGAGATCTTTACCATTTTGACTCCATATCTTCTGGCACATTATTAAAGTTGCCTGCCTATGACAAGTATAGTTGAAAGAGTCTCAGTTCACTCAATCCGAACAAAATAGAGATCTAAACCTAAACTTTTAGAAATTTCCACTGTAAAACATTGTTCTGCAAGATTGCTCATTGAAAAGTCTAAAATGCTTGGAGAACATTGCCTTCATGAAAAGAATAAGATGTTTTTTTTTTAAGAAGTAATGGACTCTGATAAAGTTTCCCAATCAGTTATGGCAACTCTTAACCTAGTTAACAAGATCTCATGAAACTTATGGTATTCTAAAGCATATACTTTGGAAATTGAGAAAAGAGATGATGATGGCTGATTGGTGAATGTTAACAGCCATTTATTAATTAGTATCATTCAGACACTGACCTACGTGCATCTATGTGCATTAAACTCATTTCACACTTGCAGGAACACTGTGAAAGATGTTCTTCTACTCATTCTATTAACAGATAAACAGAGAATGAAGGAAAAAAAGGATAAGCTAGTTGCCCAAAGTCATGAAGCTATTAAATAGAGCTGGCCATCCATGACCTTATCAAGCAGAGATTAAGTATCAACTCATGGTTACGTACCCTACTCCTGGCACATACTATGCCCCTGGAAGTAGCAGCTGAATTGGATTAGAGATATAATATGCCCCCTGGATGTGGCAGCTGAATTACATTGGAGATAAGAGTCTAATTTTAAAAAAAAAGTGAGTATGGGCTGGAAAGCTGGATCAGAAGTGATGAACACTGTCTGCTCTTTCAGAGGACCCAGGTTCCATTCTCATCACCCAAATGGTAGATCCACCTCCCTCTTCAGGCTTCTGTGGGCCCTGGGTACCAGGCACACATGTGGTGCACATATATCCATACAGGCAAAACATCCATACACAGAAAAGTAAAATAATTCTTAAAAATTTGAAGTGACTAAAGTGGATCAATTAGACCTTTTAGGAACATCCAATGATATTTACACAATTAGAGTACGCTCTTGTCAATCAAACTTTTGTGTTTGCTTCAGAGAAATTCATATTCTAATGTTTCTATTATGAACCATTATATATTGGGTAATCACTTTCATATTTTGTTTAATGTACACTATTTAGGGTTAACATAAAGATGATAGGAAAATAGAAGATAGTACTGATTCTAGCCACAACAAAAATTATTTCATTTGAAAGTGCATTAAATTGGTCTTTTGGTGAGACATCTAATATATTGAAACAGATAAAACCACATCCATAAGGAACCACTGATTGCCTTTGTTGGCAAAGTGGTTTTTGTGTAATGCAACATAATGATGGCTATTGAGAATGGTCAATAGTGGCATTTTAAATATTGCAGACCTTAAAATACATCAAGGTCAAATTTAGTAAATAAAATGCTAGTGAATTTTCAGTGGAGATTTGTATGAGCCAGAGGGCACTAAGGGGAAAAAAATCAATACGCTTTCAGTTTAAAATGTAGAGATGAAAAAGCAGAAGAGCGTTCTGAAAAATAAAAAAGGAAATTTTCTCTTTATCACTTCAAGAGCTTAGAGTGCAGCGATCACAACTCTAATTAAGCTATCTTTGTGATCATAAATAGAATAATGGCTAGTCTCAAATGATTGGTTACTATGCTGTTTTCAGAATCTCGTTTATTAATTTCTAACAGAACTATTACCTCCATGTCATGGGTTTGGAAATGGAGGTAGAGGGGTAAGACAGCAAGAAATCCTTTTTCATGTTTTTGTACTAGAACAAGATGGATTAAGGACTGCAGTCAGTTTCAGATTCCATGCTACTATTTGAATATCATGTAAAAGAGAAGATTTAAAGGCTCAAGGTCCACAGGACCAGACAAAAGATAATGTCCACTGCCATTGTTAGGATACAATAGAGACTGAGTAGATAGATTTTATAATGCTGAATGTTAACATGTAGAATGGAATGCCTACCAAATGCAAACGCCCCTCCTTGGGCTTGCTCAGTGGCAGGGTTCCAGAGAATAGCATACATCCTGCCACTTAATAACTCCATCAGTTTAAAGGTATACATCAGTCATGACAAGTAAAGGTCTGTCTCTCCAACACCCTTTACCACTGCTGTGTACTAAGATTTCATAAACCTTCAACGGCATGTTGACAGCCTGGCCAAATGCAGACCCCACCGAAGCTCAGTCAGCCATTTGTGATAGTGTTTCTGCTGTGTCGGTTGGTGCATTAGAGTTACAATACTCAGAAACTGCTGCATGCCCTGAAGCCTTCAGGAAAGTTCAAGAAGGAGGGAGGGGCGGGGGACTCTTCTTAGAAGAAAGCACAGCTAGATTCTGAGCTGATAAAAGGAAAATAGAAGTTGACAGTAAAGCATTGTGTTCAGAATCTCGGGGTGGAAGCTATTTGAGAGTCAAACTCAAAGCCCTCAAAAGAAATAACAGAGTAAGTCCTGAGTTAAAAAAAAAAAATACTGAAAGTTATTTTCATATTCTATCCACATTTCAAAATGCTTGCTTCTGTATCTCCTTTGTGGATAACACAAGTCAGTTTAAGCAACCAAATAGTTTATTTGTTAGAGTGGCATAAAGAAAATTAATAACATATAAATAAACTCACAAGGCTTTGGGAGAACAGTTTACATTAAAAGGTTTTGTTTAAAGAAAAGGTTTTTAGTGCTGAGAATTGAACTCAGGGCATCATATATACTACTCATGTGTTCTACTACTGAGTTAAACCTCCTGCCCCAAAAGATATTTGAAACCAGTAAGTCAAGCAAACTGTAACCTATTGGTATATCTATATATCAGTTGAGTATAAAAAAAATAAAAATTAAATGTTCTATTCTCTATCAGTGGACATATAAAATACCATATAGACAACATACTATATTTTGATTAACATGTAATAGCTATACATCTTTATGGGGAACAGTATATTTTAGCAGTATATTTTAAAACATGCATTCCAGATATACTGGTAGAATCAAATAAAATAGCATTTTCTACTTGTTATTTTGTAGCCTTCAGGAGCGTCTCTCCGGTTCTTCGAAAAGGATAGAATGGGTTATGGTGAATCTAGTAGGTTTTGTAGAATGTAATTCTTACTTGTAAGCTTTGCTCACAATTCAGTGCACTTAAAAGTAGCTTCAGCTCTCGGTCATCCCCTATCAATTTTACAGCCCTTTCTAAAATCTGCCTCCTAAGTCTTACAAATAGGAACTTTCTTTTCTTCTTAAAGTCAAAAAATCAGTTAAAGATAAACAATTGCAGTAAGAATGACTTCGTAAGGAATCGGACCAGAAGTCACAGAGCCGATGGTAAAAACCCCAATATACCTACTTACCTGGATGGCTCTGACATTGGAAATTGGCTGTTTCGACATACTCACAAGGTCTTATTCCTAAAAATAAAAATAAATAAAAATAAAAATAAGAGCCTGTTAGAGGTGGCAGACTTCAGATTCAAGGTCTTGATAAATTAGAATTTAACTCATGATTCAATTGGGCATTTGCCCCTTTCACTAGCCGTATATTCTTTCAGTCTCACTTTCTGCAGTTACTTGGAGACTCTCCTTCCCAATGCCTCAGGGAGAGAGAACACTAGAGCACCCTGATAAATCATTCAGGAGGAGATATACTGAGATGCCTTGCCCCTGATGCAAATGATAGGTGATCAGAAACTTGAAAGGCCCTATCATTGCTTTCCCTGCCCTCTTGACCTTCTGCCAAGAGCTGCAAACCAAAGAGGTGGTGGGAATAAAACACCTTTGTTCTGCCTCAGAGGCACTAGGCATGAAACTGAACTTTTGATCTGTACTCACTGTTACCAGGGCAGCTATTTACTTCAACAGTGGCAACTGTACTTGGTATAATACCCGAAGATGCCTCAACATTTGGAATACTTTCTCAGAAGTGTACATATCTCTTTTCCCAATAATCTCACAGACCCTTTGAGAAGCTGAATTGTTTAGTTTTCACTTGTCCCACCCAACCATCCCAACAAGCCTTGGTTCTAGAAACACCAGAAGATGGCATGTTCTGCAACTTTCTTCTTTCAGTACAACAATCGTAGAATGTTCACGGAATTCCATGACCATATTAGACCCCCAAATGGTAGAAGTGCTTTAATCTACAATTTTCTTTAAACACATGAGACCAACTTTGAGCACTAGGATCAAAGCCCGGCCTATGGTTTGTTGGAGCTAAAGGAACAAAGAGTAACAATGAACCCACCTCTGGCTGGTTTTACAGCTGTCTGTTAAACATCAACCGGAGCAAGTAAAAAGTTTAAAACTCATTGAATTAAAAACATTCTCTCTTCTAACCCTAACGAGAAAGTGACTGAGATGTACGTGGGTTAACATGTGGCTGAATGAACACAAAAGTCCACTGAAACATGGTCATTCAATATTTCTAGACCTGTTTCCTCTTCCTCTTCAAATGGTCCTGCTTCACAAGTTATGAGAAGATTTGAATGACATAATATGTCTGGCAAGGCTTTCTGAACTCTAAAGCATAAGTGTGACTGTTTGTTGCATTATTGACAATGGTCACAGCTAATGATTCCTGAGTGCTGTGCTAATCTACATCCTTAAATATAGAGAAGAACTGTTACATGGTCAACACAGAAATAAATTACAAGAGAAGAACTTAAGTGAAAATGAAGCTTTTCCATTTTAGATCTCAGCTTCTATTCCATGAAGATAAATAAGCGCACACTCATTTTTAAAAATATCTACAATTATTGTATTTCATTATGTACTTTGAGGAGCTATGTACATACAAATAACACACATGAACTTTAAAAGTTTCATCTAATGTTAAGATATAGATACTACACCAGGAATGGTGGCACCGCCTTTAATCCCAGCACTTGAGAGGCAGAGGCAGGTGAATCACTGTGAGTTCAAGGTCAGCCTGGTCTACAAAGTGAGTCCAGGACTGCCAGGACTGAGTTACTTAGAGAAACCCTATCTGGAAAAACAAAACAAAATAAATAAAAAAGATATAGATACTGCTTCTACAATAAAGGTCCAGGATGAACCAATTTTTAATATAATCAAAAATTAAGTAAAAACATCAAGTCAAATAATCAAGGATAAATTTTTCCCTATGATCCTTTTCAAGTTGAGTGCTTGCTACCTTACCTTCAGCATCAAAGAAACATAAATAGCTTTCTAATTTGTCATTCTAGAGTACACAGCTCAGTTCTGAAAGGATATGCATAGAATAGCTTAATTTTTGACATTTCCATTTGCAAATGCTAAAAGAAATAATGCAAAAATAATAATTCTTATAAGGTCTTTAAACCTGACCACAGTGCTCGCTATGTGTGCTTACCACTAGAGTTTAATTAACATTGTTTTCTTTTAAGTTACTGTATATTAATTTAAATCATGAGGATTAGAAATTGCCCTTATGTGATTTTAATAGCAAGTTGAAATACAAAAGCAGTGAACAATGAATGGTTTTATTTATACTGCATTAATTTTTGCATGTGGTTTTATTTTTTTCACTGACTATTTACACTAATTACTGGATTACCGTATTTGCTGGAGAAAGTGAGCTTAACAGATGTATGGACTTTGCATCGTCTACCTAATTTTGTTATACTTTTATTTGTCTATGGATCTCTTAACATCTTTGTCAAGCTTCGATAGAGACATCTATAGAAAGTCAGTTCACTCCCTGCTCTCATTTCTCACCATCAGGCCCAGAGAATATTTGTATAAATCAGTTCAGCAGCAGTTTCTGCTGTCCTCATTATTTGCAGGGAAATCGGGGCAAAGCGCAGTGATGAATAAAAATAGACAGTGTTCCCTGGCTGTTTCCCTGATTGTGAGCATTCACCTCCATCAGGGTGTAGAGTGTGGTGCACGTTCCCTCTACAGCTGCATGTCCCTTCCGTGGATGAACACAGTAAAGCTGTGCTTTATACCCTCACCCCACCACCATCTATTTCAGGGTCACTGCTTTTTATCCAAATAGATACTCTCTGCAACATGCAATGCCGGGTCTGCCTCCTGGATCTGGCTAAAATTTGAAATCCTGCAACTTTGACAAGGCATATTGACTTTAATAAACTGGCGATGCTTGCCAACTGAGCACAGGTAAGCTTTCCTGGCAGTCTGTGAGAACTTTTAATGGTCTTTGTGCTGAGTCATGGATAATAGACCCCTATTTGCTTTTGACTGGGCAGCACCTAATATCTAGCTTCTAAATAAAACCCTTCAACTTACTAAAACTGTTCAGCCTTAATATCACTAATTTCACAAGATGAGATTAAGGGGGGAAAATCAATTGTTATTTGGAAAGAAGAGCTTTGTTTGTTCTTTTAAAAGGTCAAGGAAATGAGTGAAACACTGTCTCCAAGGGATTTATCTTCTGTCCTGAAGCTAAAAATAATTCCCGAGGAGGGTGTAGAATGATGCTCTGACTACTTCAATATGTTGGAAAGGAAGAGAGAGTTCTTGCCGCTCCATACATTGTCTGGTGCCCACATAGACAAGGACACTGAGTGCTGCCCTCTATCCTGCTGGGTACAGGAAAACAGTGACCAAAGCAAAGCTCTCGAAAAGATGGTGCTGTCTACACAACTTTGTTGTTGAGACCAAGCACAGCACGTAGGGAAGGGAGAAAAGGATTCTACACTTACATCATCTAACAACTCTCATTTAGACAAGCACACACAGAGAAACTAACATTCCAGCTTTCCTCTGCCCGCTCTTCTCCTGACAGATTCTTCAGCTTAGAGCGTGTTGTCAGTCTGCAGCTGACTATAACACAGGCCAGCAGGGCTTCAAGGTCACAGTTACCATATCTGGACTGTGGATATTTTGTTAACATCCCTATCAATGAAAACCCCTTTAGTTCCCTTTCAGCATGCACACAGTCACACACACAAGCACACACACACAAGCACACACACACACACACACACACTTTATAAAATAGAATCAGGGTTACCAGCATTGAGCAGGGAATTGACAAAGAAGCTACCTGGTACTTAGAAACCTACAAAGTTATGAGTAGTCACTTTAAGTTAGGGATAGAGAAAATTTCCTCTAGAAAGCTGGGAGCCAAAGCGGGGTCCTTCTGCTTACCTGCTCTCTGGATTTGTTTACTGCCTGAGGACAGTCCCAGGCAGCCAGGTGCGAAAACACAAAACTCTTTACCAGGCAGAAGGAACTCCCGGTGTCCTCTGAGCTGGGATCTCAATTCCAGTGCTTTTCATGTGGCTGAAATTGCTGGAGTGCTCTGTGCCTCTCCCGTACTGAGAGATGCCCCTGGCTTGGGGCTAGAGGAGAACTCGGTTTAAGGCTAAAGTGTTAAAGAGAATTCCTGTCATAGCTCACAGTTGTTCTTCCTAAATATAGAGTTTGATACAAGCCATAGGCTGCCTGCCTCCAGAAGGCTTGACCGTGTGGAAAGCAGGGTTCAAATATCAGCTGAGAGGTAGCTGCATTATCTTACTGCCCTCCTAAACTTCCTGAGGAGGCTGGCTGCATTCTCTCACATTTTCTGAGGGGTGCAGTGAACTTCAAAAAGTAGGAAGAGTCTATCTTTAGCTGTATTATCTAGAGGCCAGAAATGAGGAAAGGTTCATTAAAACTTGAAGGAAGCAGGGGTGCTGATGTCAGACATCGTTTGAATCCAAGCTTGGTCACTTGGAAACGATTAAAGTTACATAATAATCAGGAGTCACCAAATAATATAATTATACCATTACATCAAACTATAAGACATTGTCCTAGTTTGTAGGTCAAACATGGTTAAAAATGGACTGGCTGGCATGATTGCTGGGCTCAGCGACCGTGCTAACTTGGCTCTACTGCTTTTATTGATGTATTCACCTTAGATCTTGGCCCAAAGGAGACAACAGAAGAGGGGGGAAAAAAAAACCAAACAAACAAACAAAGGGAAATGTATACCTTTAGCTTTGGCAAGGACCAAGATTATGTACCTGGAAAAAATATTTTTCAAATCCTAAGGCTCATGGTCACTATTTTGAACATGTTTTTGTGGTTGAACCTCCTCAGTCTCTGAAATTAACTTCATATAAAACTTCCCTTTGGGCATGATAGCTTGCACCTTTAATTCCACCACTCAGGAGTCAGAGGCAGATGTATTTCTGTGAACTGAGCTTGAGGTCAAGTCTAGTCTGCATAGAGAGTTCCAGGCAGCCAGGGCTATGGAGAGAGATCCCATCTCACAAGAACAAAAATAAAAACACACAGATGAAAACCAACTTCGCTTTGGTAGAAATACTCAGTAGAGTAAACCAACTTCAAATACATCCCCTGGGTGACCATACTTCGAACCACCATGACATGACATTTTCATCAACCATTCTTGCTATGTGAGTAAAAGAAGCTTTGAATTCTCTGAGTCAACCACCTACTCCTGGCCAGGGATTCATTCAACGAGCTCAGAGGACAACAATTGGGCATAAACTTGTGGATAGTTGTCACCTGTGTGCCAGCTGGATCCTCTCAGAAACACCAAGAAGGCAAGCACTTTACTTGACTTCACTCCATAACCCCTTAAAATTCCCACTACTGTTGTCAGTTTAAGGTTCCCATAAAAGTCTGCACTTGCCGTGCAGGAAGCCACTGACACACTTCAGCACACCCTGGGTTGATGAGTGACAATTAATGAATGGGGCTCAAGGAGACAGGGTACAAAATAAAAGTCTATTTCTGGCAGAGACAGTCAAGATGAGGAGAAGGAAAACTAAGCAATGAGTCTTACACAAAGTATGGAAAATGGGAAACCGAAGGTATTGGACATTGAAGGAATAGCTTTAAGACTTTTTAGCATATTTCAGTAAAGATCACCTAAGCGGAACAGGGCACAGTGTTGTTCACAAAAATACAATTCACCAAAGTCTTTTTTTAACCTGTATACACTCACCTCTTCCGAACCCAACCCAACCCAACACACCACACACCACACACACACACACACACACACACACACACACACACACACACATCCAAGAGTTGGGCTTTCGTTTGAATCATTTTATTTAATTCTCCCAACAGCTCTGTGAGTTTAGAGGCATAGAAAACAGTTAAGACTCAGTCAGTTCTTCCTAGCTTTTACTTTTTAGACAAGATCTCATTACGCAGCCTTGGCTGGCCTGAAACTCACTGAGTAGAACAAGCTGGCTCAAGCCCATTGAAATATGCCTGCCTCAGCATCCCAAGTGCTGGGATTAAAGTTGTGTGTCATATGAATGGCCTATTCCTAACCTGTGTCATTCAAATTCTTTCCTAGTATACAAAAGCACCCTCAAGGAACCACACTCACACATACACAAAAGCATATGCAACTCCAACATCAATTAGAGTGCATCCCTGAGTAGATGTCATCTCACACATCTAGGACTGTGAAGAGAGGTAATTCTGAGCTTGTTCAGAAACTCTATGATGTCAAGAGATGCAGACTCTTTCAAGTTCGTTCACCTTAGCACTCAGAATAAGTCAGCATTTTATCCTGCTGTTCCCAAGACAGCAGCTACAGCAGCTCCAAAAACCAGGATCGGTCATGGACAGCTAAACGAGGAGGAAGAACAGTGACTACAGAAAAGTAGTTTTTCTTTTCCCACAAAGAAAATTCTTCCTCAGTTCTTCAAAACAACTTCCCCTTACATTTAAAAAGGAAGGGGGAGGAATGGTGTCACACCTGCAAAGGAAATCAATAAATGAATGGCAAAAGTGAATGAAGTAAAAATGATAATAAAAATAGCCTACCTAAAACTGAGATGCCCTTAGCAATGAAGAATGGTAGGGAATATGTGTTCTTTCCCACATGTGACTTCACGAAATTTACACCAGTTAGAAAGCAGAAATATAAATTTTGTAAGTAAAGAAATGTTTTTTTTTAAATAAATGAAAAGGGGGGAAAGCCAATGTGAAAATTCTAAAATCATATTTCACAAGACATACAAACATGAATCACATCCAATTTAAGTAAAGATGCAGGAATTTTTTTTCTTTTTCTTTTTTTTTTTTTTGCTGTTGTTAATGCTGTTTTGTTTTGTTTGAAGATTTATTTTATTATTTATTTGTGTTATGTGTACCACAAGACTATAGAAGCCAGAAGATGATGTCAGATCCCCTAGAGCTGGAATTACAGACACTTGTGAGCTGCCTCACATAGGTACTAGGATTCAAATTCAAGTCCTTTGCAAGAGCAGTATGGTCTCTTACTTGCTAGGCATCTTTCCATCCCCAAAGCATAGTTTTAATCCTAATAATAATGTAAGGGACACTAAAGTATAGAAAATGTTTTAAAGTATAATACTAGCATAAAAAAAAAAATCCAGATGCCAGGAGTGGTAGCACATGCCTGTATTCCCAGCTTGGGGAGGCAGAGGCAGGCGGATCTCTGAGTTCATGGACAGCCTGGTCTACAAAGCATGTCCAGGACAGCCAAGGTTACACAGAGAAACCTTGTCTTGAAAAAAAAAAACAGAAAACAAGAAGAAAGAAAAAAGAAATCCAGAGAATAACTATTGATACTTTTTCCAAGTAAAAATTTACAATACCTATGTACAATAATAAAATAACTTCAAAAAGCTAAAATGAAATAATACAATTATTTTCTATATGCATATTTGTTATAGAATTAACACACTCATATAAAACAGGTTTTCTAATCAAGAAGAAAAGTAACAATTAACTTAGATATGGACCAAAAGGATTGGAGAAATGGCTAAGAGGTTAAGAGCTCATTCTGCTCTTGCAGAGGGGCCCAAGTTTGGTTCCTAGCATCTATGCAAGACAACTCATAACTGCCTTTAACTCTAGCTCCAGATCCAATACCCTCTTTTGGCCTCCATAGACACTATACTCAAGTACACAAATCTCTCTCGAGTGCTCGCTCTTTCTCTCTCTCTCTCTTACACACACACACACACACACACACACACACACACACACACACACACTGGGGAAGAGGGGAGGTGGAGGAGAGCTTGAAGGAGTGGAAGGAGGCAAAACCGTGCTTGAGATGTATTTCATGAAAGAATAAAATCAATACAAATTAAAAAAATAAAACTTTTTTACTTTTAATTTATTTAGCTGTTAATTTTACATCCCAATCATAGACTCCACCCTCCTCTCCTCCTAGTCCCACTTTCTCTCCCTCTTTCCCCCTCCCTCCTCCTCTACCCTTCAGGAAAGGGAGACACACACACACACACACACACACACACACACACACACACACACACATGCTAATCCACCCCAGCACTTCAACTCACATTAAGACTGGGACCCTGGGTAAGATAATCAATCCTCACTCAGAAAAGCAAATGAGACAGATATTGGAAGAAGGAGAAAACAGGGAACAGAACAGGAGCCTACCACAGAAAGCCTCTGAAAGACTCTACCCAGCATTGTATAAAAGCAGATAATGAGATTCATAAACAAACTTTAGGCAGAGTACAGGGAATCTTAGGAAAGAAGGGGGAGATAGTAGGACCTGGAGAGGACAAGAGATCCACAAGGATAGCAACAGAACCAACATATCTGAGCACAGGGGTCTTTTCTGAGACCGATTCTCCAACCAAGGACCATGCATGGAGATAACCTAGAACCCCTGCTAAGATGTAGCCCACGGCAGCTCAGTATCCAAGTGAGTGCCCTAGTCAGGGGAACCGGGACTGTCTCTGACATGAACTCAGTGGTTATCTCTTTGACCACCTCCCCTGTATGGGGGAGCAGCCTTGACAGGCCACAGAGGAGGACAATGCAGCCAGTTCAGATGAGACTGGATAAGGTAGGGTCAGATGGAAGGGGAGGAGGACCTCCGCTATCTGTGGACTTGGAGAGGGGCATAAGAGGAAATGAGGGAGGGAGGGTGGAATTGGGAGAGGAAGAGGGAGGGGGCTACAGCTGGGATACAAAGTGAATAAACTGTAATTAATACAAAAAATAAAAATTAAAAAAAAGGACTAGGCATATCCTCTTCCTCTTTGGCCTGTCAAGGCAGCCCCACCAGGAGGAAATGATGGAAAAGCACATCTTGTAAGCAGGGTAAATTTTGGGTTGAAGTTTTTATGGGTTGGTTGGTATTCCACCTCCCTCCAATAAGGGTCCTGTCTAGTTAGAGGGTGGCCTCTTCCATCTCAATGACCCCTGCTACTATAGCTCTCAGCTACAGTCACCACCATATCCTCATTGGAGCCTACCCTGTTTTAGATCTCCATCTTGTCTCAGATATTTCCCTGCCCACAGTTTCTCTTCTCTCTGCAAGACCTCTCTCCT